CCGAGATGATCGGTTTCCCACCTCATTGGTTCGGTGTACGGTTTGAATTTTCTCCAAACCGAGGTTCACGGTTCAGCGCACGATTTGGCCTCATAACCGAACCAAACCAAACCGAACCCACCCCTATTGCTAATAGTGGGCCAAGGGTCCGTCCCTCTTAAGTCCCTCTTAAATCTTAACACTTAGTACATGAATTTGTGTCAAACTTGACAACCAACCAGAGTTTGGAATTTTTTTTGTCTTTCGAATGAACATTTGAAAGATCATAGAAACTAAACTCATTGTCGGGGAAATGCATCATTTAGCCGCAGCAGAAGTCCAGTTTCTGCTAAGCAATCAACAATCACCATAATTGCAGATGGGGGCTGTGGGGGAGACATACAGGAAGAGGGGTTAAGGGAAAGATATACTGGAAGGATTAATCCAAAAAATATTGCATTTAGTTCTACTTCATGCTTAGACGCATTCTGATTCAGACACACTACCCTCCAGTATCCACAAATAGAGTTCGTACATATTTTTACTATGTATGACAGAGATACAAACATGCTCTAGTACAACTGAGTTTTTTTTTTTTCTTTTTCCCTTTCTAATTTATATAAAACTGGCACTAGCAAAGATTGCCATCTGAACACTCAAAATCCAGCTCCAATGGGTTTGACCCCTCCTTTGTTGCATCATGTCATGCTTTCTGTGCAGCAAATACATTATTAGCATGTGAGAGAGTGGACAAGAAAACAAAAAGGTACAGAAGCATAATTGTTTTCGTTAAGAGATTGGATCAATCTTTACCTGCATTGGAAGGTACAACTTAAACTCGGGCGGAAGTTCCTCTTCGGAGTACAAGCGGTCAGAGAAATATATCCTCCTGAGGCGGCAATTCGCATGAACCTGAACTCGCAATGTCTCCACATAGTTTGTTCCATAGGCTCTCCTGGTAAAATCGGCTAGATTAAACTGGATTTGATTCCAGCCCTCATCCATCCTCAGTGGCATGGTGCAGATGTATGGCTTCACCCGAGTTACAGCCTACGACACATAAATAAATAAATAAATAAATCCTCGTATTTTTTATCATTTTGATTCTTCTACAGCAGTACAATCACTTCAAATACAAGTATTCTTTAGCAGTCAAAACATCAACACTTCAAACAAAAAGTCATCAGGGTGAGGTACATGGCATTTAAACAATATCGCACATAAAAGATGATAGTAATTAAACTTCAGTAAAGGTTAGCTGATTTCTCAAAATTCCTATGAGTCCAATTTATCCGGCATTTGCAGAAGACACCCTGTTCACTGATAAAACTCAGAAGACAGAATAACAATATACTAAACTATGAATCATTAAGCAACAATCTACTGGAGTGGTCAATGAGTTTTGCATCCTACACTGCTCGACTCAAAATGGTAGGCAATCTCCGATCAACATCAATGAATTTTTTTTCTCCTGATTCCTGAAGCTGCCAATGGCATATCTAGAAGCCAGATTCCTCTACAACCTTGGACTTAACCTTGGTACATGATTTTTCCCTCAAGTATATACATGTCTTACAAATGCAAGACATCAGGCATAGTTAATATGTTCATAATGCAGCCGGAAAAACTTACAAAAAAAGTCGGCATGAAATATGACCAATTTTACACTACATAGATCTTCAAAGACAACAAAAGAAGCTTAGACTTGCTAGTGAAATAGATACATCTTTGAGAAAAACATATGCAGCAGCCTTCATTACTTACCTGAACATGCCCTGAAATACCAACGGAAAGGAAAAGAAAAGAGAACAAGAAAAACAACCATTATGCAATTGACAAACATCAATAAACATGGGCAAACTTACACACTTGAAAATTGGAAGCTCGAAAACGTCTCCTGACGTTCTTGTCATCCAGAACTTGAATCTCAAATGTGAAATACTTCTTCAGATTCTTTACAATCATAACCAGGAATGGAAGTTTTATACCAAGTGTAGCTGATGGGTCTGCTGGGCAAGTAATGTATGTGGACTGGATGTTCGTACCAATTATTTCAAGGACATTGGATTGTATGTCTTCATCCTGTGGTCTTTTAATATGGCCATCGACAACTGCTCAACAAAAGAAAAACATAGAAAAGTCAACCAGTCACTAAGTCATTCCATCATCATGTCAACATCTTAAAGGCATCCGCCTTATACTACGGTCTAAAGTAGAAAAATAGTTATTTCCACTCTAGCATCAAGCAATGCCCCATCCAATATAAACATCAATTCTACAAACTTTCCAACATGCGCGTGCCTCATTATTTACTATGTCATGAACAGACTTAAAGAGACCCTAAAATTTAATGGTATATCGCAGTGGAAGGGGATCCATCCATTAGAGATTACTAAGTCTTTTAGCTAATGCGCCTATCAGCAGATTAGATGTTCATCAGTCACCAATCTTAACAAAAAGACATGGTGGGTTAACATGGATGTTGTATGACAAGCATGAAACAAAAAGGGATGAATTGCAAAGAATAAGAGAGTATTGAACCATGACTGGGCACCTCCATGTATTAAACTATAAAAAAACATACAACCAATTTAGTCCTTGTGCTACCACTTCAAACTATTTAGATTTGTAGAAGCTACAGGCACTTCTTTAATTCAGACGATACTTGGGAGAAAATATATAAAAGGCATAAACAACACAGAATTGTCAAAATTGCATCTTACATTGATATTTGAAACAAGTTCAATTTAACAAGCATTTCAACATTTCATCAACAGGTTTTACATTTCCAAAGCCAAAACCACTCACCTTCTTTATCCCAAATCTGCAACGGTTTGCTCCTACATATTCAAAAGAATGCACAGATTAAAATCAAAGTTACAAGTGCAAGGATAAAAAAAAGATACTCAAACACAAGAGACAGAGACGGCATACCCAAGGCTGTATAGAATTGACAGAAATCCGGATTGAAATGTGTTCTTGAACATTTTTACTTCTTTCTAAACCGAGCTGCAATGAAAGCACAACCATTGTAAGCTATAACTGGACTTAACATTTCTTTTCCTTCTGGTTTTTCGTTCAATTGGAATTGGAAGCCCATTAATATATAACAAAAGCACATAATCTACAAACAAAAAGAAAAAAAAAATCTTAACGTTTTAAACTCAAGTATTCTATCAATGGCTGAATATAAATCCCAGTTATCCTTGAAACTAGCAGATGTGTAGAACCCTAGATTATATCATCACAATTTATGGAAGGAGAAACTATAGTAACAACATAAGAACGGCAACCATCTGTTCAACTCCATAGATTTTGAATATCACGTTTGGCCGAGACAACGAATTTGATCAAATTCCAAATGTCTGTACTTTTAGCTTACAGACAGACAGACACTCAAATATACTTACCCAGGAAAGAGTCGTTTCGACCACAACGCCAATTGCAGACCTTAAGCTTCTCAAAGCCCCAACCTGATAGACCAATTGCGATTCCCCTCTCTCCCAATCTGTCTCTGTCTCTCACTCTGCAAGCCCTAATTGTCCCGCGTGTGTGCGCTTTTGTTTTGGTAAATATTGTCTTGCGTATTTTGTGCATTAGGCCGAATTAGAATTTTTTTTTTTTTTTTGGGAGCAATTTTTATTAGGGAGTTTCACTAAAACACCCAAAATGGGGGTTGAAATTATAAAAAAACTCAACACCCAAAACACTTTATAAACACACCCAAAATTCATCATTACACACACTCAAAACCCATTTATAAACACACCCAAAAAATATACAATTGTTGATTTTGAGGTTGATTTTGGGTGTGTTTCTATGTTTAAATAGTGTTTGAGTTTTTTTATAAATACATGTTTAGGATTGGGTTTATTTATAAATTTGTATTTTTATTATTCAAGAAATGTTAGAAAACTCCCCTAAGAGCAGCTCCACTGAGAGCATTTCCAGCAATGCAGGCTGGGCTCGGGCTTGGGGGGGTGTTGTAGACGTTTCCAACAACAAAATGGAGCCCGGGCAAGAGGTGGGGGCCAGCAGCCTGGGCTGGCCCAAGGTGGGGTTTGGCCCGAGTGCTTGCCTGCGGGCTGAGCAAACGTCACGACGATGTCAGCGTTTCAGTTAAATCGCACGTACCAACGTTAAAAAAAAAATTTACGTGCCCGCTATAGTGCCCGCCCAACGGCTATCTTCCACGTGTTTTCTTCTGGGCTATCCGATCCGCTTTTTCCATATATCCAACGGCAGCCATTTTTTCGCGAATAAAAAAATCGAAACTGCCACCCCCAACGGCTCTCTGCCACGTGGAAGCTTCTGGGCTCTCCAATTCTCTTTTTTCCAGCAATCCAACAGCAGGCAATTTTTTGCCCAATAAAAAAATGAAAAAAAATCGAAATTTTTTTAAAAATATACCAAAAAAATATTGAATTTTTTTTCTATAAATACCAAACAATACTCTTCACTTTTAACACCAACTCCTCATACATTTTCTTCTCCTTCTACTATTATTCACTTTCTACTCAATTTTTTTTCACTTTCAAGTTGTTTTTTTCTCTATCATATTATGGGTTCTTCTAGTGAAACTGGAGTTAGTTTGCTTGCCTTTCATTTCATTGTACCATTAAGTTAGTTTGTTTGCCTTCCATTTCATTGTATTTTTTGTTTTGTTTAAAAAAGTAGTGGTAATTCAAGTATTTTATTTTATGAGTTCTATTGATTTTCTTTTAGTGAATGAAGAAAATATTCAACAAAATTCCTTTTTATTCAAAACATTCCATACATAAAAAGCAAACCACAACCAAAGCATAAAAAATAAACAAACCACAACCAAAGCATAAAAAATAAACAAACCACAACCAAAGCATAAAAAATAAACAAACCACAACCAAAGCATAAAAAATAAACAAACCACAACCAAAGCATAAAAAATAAACAAACCACAATTAAAGCATAAAAAAACAACAAAGCATAACTAAAAATACAACATAAACATAATACATTAAAAAAAACATCTTCACTTCATTTCATTGTCCTTCATTCCCTTTTACCGCCCACAAATGCTCCATCAAGTCAACTTGACGGTGTTCATGAATATACGACGATTGCATCTTCGTGTAGCGCTCAATCATACGATGCATGAAACTACTGTCTCTAACTAACAGATCATGCTGCACTGGTTCTCCATCTGGCCCCATAGGTTTTTCATAAATTCGTGTTAAGGCCGTGTTTATGGGATTTGGTTCATACACTTCATCAGCATCGTAATCATACTCATCTTCCACAATCATGTTGTGGAGGATGATACAAGTCATCATTATACTCCTAAGCACCTCCTCATCAAATAGACGCGTCGCGCCCCTGATAATTGCCCACCAAGCTTGAAGGATACCAAAACACCTCTCCACATCTTTTCTGTACCCCTTTTGATAGGCAGCAAAAAAAATTTCCTTATGGGATCGGGGATGTGGAATTGATTTCACAAATATTGTTCAGCTCGGGTAGATACCATCAGCTAGATAATACTCGTTCTGGTAGACGGTATTATTAATTTGATATGTGATAGTTGGGCCTTCACCTCTCAGAACATCATTGAACACCAGGGATTGACCCAAGATGTTCAAATCATTTTGAGAGCCGGCAACTCCAAAGAAGGCGTGCCAAACCCATGTATCAAAACCAGCAACTGCTTCGAGGATGATGCTTTTCTGCCCTTTCCGATTGCCATAATCCCCTTGCCAAGCAGTTGGACAATTTTTCCATTGCAAGTGCATGCAGTCAATACTACTAATCATCCCAGGAAATCCACGAGACTCAGCTTTTTGTAGGAGTCGTTGCAGGTCCCTGGGCGTAGGTCTGCGCAGGTAGTCCCTGGTGTACAGAGTTTCCACTGCATCACAAAATCGCACTAAGCTCTCCAAAATTGTGGACTTCCCTATCCTAGCAATCTCATCCACCTGATCAGCAGATGACCCATACGCCAACATTCGTATCACAGCTGTGAACTTTTGCTCGGGAAGAAGTCCCAAATTTTCAGCACAAATTTTCTTTTGAACAAAGTAGTCATCATAATTGCAAATATCATGCATGACTTTATTGGACAAATAGGGTTGCATTTTATATCTTGCTCGAAAATGAACATCAGAGTACAGAGATTGTGGGATAAAATAATCTTCTATAAGATTCTTACTCCGAGAATGTCTATGTCTATCCACATTCGGTGCCCGGCCTTCTCGTGAACCACGGCGGCTCTGGTTTTCTTCCTCCAGCAAAGCAACGGCCACACCAAGTTGCTCATCTAGTTCTCTCTGCGCCCTTTTGCTTGCAGCTCTACGCATTCTTGCTCTCCTTTCTCGCTCTTGCCTCTCCAAAACCTCTTCCATGTCGTCTGACATTGAGAATAAAGAATGAAATCTAAAATATGAGAAATGAAATCTAAAATATGAGAAATGAGATGTAGAGAAGATATGGTGTGGGAGGTATGAGCTGAGCCTCTGCTTTTATAGAAAAATTTAGGCAGATAGAGATGACACGTGACGCAATTTTAGAGGGTGAAAATCTTATCAGAAATTTGAAATTCACATGAAATTTGAAATTTGAAATTTATCTGGAATTTGAATTTTGAAATGTATCTGAAATTTGACATTTTGAATTTATCTGAAATTTGAATTTTGAAATGTATCTGGAAACCGAAAATTTTATCCGATATGAATAGTATTGACACGTAGGAACCCAATAATCTTATCCGAAAATATTATCCAAATTAATTGTTTAAGTAAACAAAGTTGTGAAAAAAACAAAAAAATGAATAGTATTTGACATGGCAAGCCTTGCACTGCTGGAAACACACTTTGCTAAGGGGGATAGGGCAGCCACTATTCACGTGAATAGTAGCTGCCCTAGGGCTCTCCTTGCCATGGCAAGGGGCTAACTGGTGGAAGTGCTCTGAGGAGCCCAAGCTCAAGGCTGGGGGGCGGCCAACCGAAAAATCCAATTTCAGCGGGCTACTTTTGCCTGGGGCTGTGGGACCCACAAAGACGGGTTGGCCCGAAGGCAAGTCTCACCCGAACTGCAGCTTGAGGGGGAGATGACGTCAGCGCACGGTAAAAAAAAAATTTGAACTCGCATGCACTGACGTCATCCCTGCGCGTTTCCAATGGCTAGAAGACACATGTCTTCGCCTGGGCGCTCTGATCTACTTCTCCTCCTCCAATCCAACGACTGGCCTTTTTTTGGCTATACAATTATGAAAAAAATTCAAATTTTTTCCAAAAAATTCTGAATTTTTTTTCTATAAAAACCTATCAATACCCTTTACTTTCAACACCAATCCTCATACATTTTTTTCTACCTCTACTATTATCCACTCTTACTCAACATTTTATTCTCTTTCAAATTGTATTTTTATTTCTTATCCTTATTGCTTCTTCTATCAAAACCGGAGGAGCATGAAGCACCATGGAAGATGTTTTATTGTCTGAGTCTTGACTCCAAATTAGTCATTGTCCTGTGTCAGGCAATGAGATGAAATTTTGTCATATGTGGAAAAAAAATTCATGCTAAATTTTGTGAAAGAATTTCGAGGTCGACTCGTACGGAAATGACATTGTCTAGTAGGTGGAAAATTCTCAATAAAGAGTTAGCAAAATGAAGAGATGTCTTGGCAAAAGCAAGGGACAACCATAGAAGTGGGGAAAATCTTACTAGCGAGGTAAATATTTTGTAATTTTCGTTTTATTAAGTATAATGTCCTAATATATATATATATATATATATATATTTTAATGTTTCTTGCATTTTCAATATTTTGTTAATATTTCTTGCATTTCCAATTATTTTTTAATATTTCTTGCATAAATAATATTTTGTTAATATTTGTTGCATTTCCAATATATTTGTAAGGTTAATTGCATTTCCATTATTTTTTTATGTTACTTGCATTTCCAATATATTTTAAATATTTCTCGCATTTTCATTTTTTTTTTGTTAATAGATTATGCAAGCACATATGTGGTTTGGTGCAATTGGACAAGGCAAAAAAACTTTCAGCCATCATGAATGTTGGGAGGTGGTGAAAAATTGCAAACGCTTCAGAATTATTCCCACGAGTTCTCCCGTTATGTTAAACGAGACGCCACTCCATGATTCAACGACATCGGATTCACCTCTCGATTGCCCTATGAGTCAAGACTCACTCATCGAAAAGGAGCCGAGGCCCATTGGCCGAAAGGGTGCGAAGGTGAAGAAAGAGAGTAATTCTAGCACTAATACATCAAAAAATTTGGAGGAAATTGCAAGGCAGAGCGCCATAAGAATTGAAATTGAGAAGAAACACCAAGAGAATGAGATGGCAATTTGAGTAGAATATGTACAAAAAAGGGAGTATTTGGGCAAACAACACATTGAGAAGACGGATCGGGAAATCATGGCCATGGATACAAGCCATATGTCCCCTGAAACAAAACAATTTTGGAAGCTAGAACGAAGGGATGTTATGAGAAGAAGACTTTTCCGTGGCGATGAACCTAGCAACATGGATTGGTTAAATGATCAAAACCATTAAATTAGTTGGCATACCTTTTATTTATTTGTATTTTTCATGTTTTGTATTAAAGTTGTTGTAATTCATGTATTTTATATTAGTAGTAGTAATTCTTAATGACTTGTATTGGCTTTCTTTATTTAATAAACAAAGCATTCAATAAAATACCTTTTTATCCAACATATTCCATACATCAAACATGCAAAACATAATTAAAAGGAAAAACCACAACCAAAGCATAATAAATAAAAAATAAATAAAACTACAACCAAAGCACAATAATAAAAATAAACCAGAACCAAACCATAATATATAAAAAACAACACAACCAAACCATAACTAAATAAAACCTAACCAAAGCATCTATGCTCCATCATTCACCGTCATTGTGTTTCACCGCCCATATAGATGTTCCATCAAGTCAACTTGACGCCTTTTATGAATATAAGAAGATTGCATCTCTGTATATCGTTGCAGCATGCTCCATATAGTCTACGGCTTCTCTCATTTGTTTCTCGCTCTTGCCTCTCCAAGCATCTCCTCATGTCTTCCATTGAGAATGAAGTATGAATTCTAAACTCTAAGAAATGAAAATATAAAAAGATGTGGTGTGAGAGGTATGAGCTGAGCCTCTGGTTTTATAATTTTTTTTTGGCTAGATAGAGATTCGCCTGGGCTAGATCTTATAGGATGACAATCTTATCTGAAATTTGAAATTTGAATGTTGAAATTCATCCAAAATTTAAAATTTGAAATTTATCTGAAATTTGAATTTTGAAATGTATCTGAAATTTGAACCCAAAAATTTTATCCGGAAATTTTATCCAATTATGAGATATGAATAGTCGTGACACGTAGGAATCCGAAAATATTATCCAAATTAATTATTGAGGTAAAAACATTTGTAAAAAAACAAAAAAATGAATAGTAATTGCCCTTTGCCATAACAACGGATGAAAACACACATTGCTTTTTGCAAAAGGCAAATGGGCGGAGTTGCTCTAAATATCTCTCTCTCCTAAACTGGTTCATCAAATTATAATGACAAACCTAGCCCTACACAATAGGAGGAATGGACATGCAAGTCCTGTGCATCTGACTGCTAAAGCCAAGACCAGCAGCTAACCACCGAAACCAAGACTAAAACCAATATCAGCAAGTAGAAATGGTTGAAACACCTTTTGTCTTTTCTTGCATGTGACTTGTGCATTGAAATTGTAGATTTTGTTTGCTTATGTAAGTGTGTGCAGTGCAAGCGAATCTTCGTAGAAATATCAGAAGCGTTTTGTAGTGTAGAAAAGTTGATAAGAGGTAAAAAATCCAACTAATAACTGGGTCTAGTCCTCGAATTATTGTTTATTGATACAAATCCATTGATTACTTTGCCACGTATATTATATTCCATCTTTGACATGTTGATTCAAATTTTTGTATTTAACTGATTTGTATTTAAATTTTTTTGTTCCTATTATATCCCTATTGTCTAAAATGAGTAAGATGAGAATTTATATGCCATTATTTTTATTTTTGTTCACCCTATGGTAGAAGTATAGTATATACTCTTGTTATCCTATGGTGTAGGCACTGGCGCCGGAAAAATCGTTAGAGGTGCCTGAAAATGGCCCTCTGCTAATGCCCACAGCAGCTATGGTTGCCATGCGATGTAAGCTCTATGAGGCGCCGTCAATGGCTTATTCCTCTCGAAGAAGAAGACCCAACCCTGACACAACTTTTGTTTTCCTCTAGGTTTTAAGTGAACGACGTCCGATTGAGATGCGTGGGTTTTTTTTAATGAAACGATGTGTTTCATGTAGTCTGGTTTCATACAATAAAGACACCACCATTTGGTTTGTAAAATCTCCTATTTTACCAAAACTCTGCCTTATAATTTAATTCCATATAATCTCTATCATTTTCATTCACCTAATAGAATCACTGCACTTAGCCTCTATTTTAATGTTTGGAACCTTGCCACTACTAAATTCATTTAATGTTATCACAATTTATGACCACAAAATATATATATATATATTTATATATATTGTATAATACAGTCATTTTAGTTGTTTTATATTTTCTTAAGGTCTGGTATTTTGTTTCGTCTTTACCACCACTGTCAGTGTTCCTTCTTTTTTTCTATTTTATTTTTTTCATTTTTGTTTGTTTGTTATTTATTTATAATATGTTTGTTATTATAATAATAATTGTTATTATTATTACTGATTTGGCTCTCTTTGTATTTTGTATGATTAATACGATAGCACATGAATAGATGATCAATTCCGATTTATTTGTTTAATTGATAATTTGATATGCATTTCAATTAAAAATTTTTTTTCAATCGATGGAATAAATTTTATTAAAGCCGAATTGAAATGTTTACATCAGCCGCAACTCAGGCCAAAGTTGATCCCAATAAAACAAAGAGAGATATGCATTTCAATTAGATTAATTGAAATTAATTTTTTTAGATTTTTTTTGTTAGATTAATCTTCGTTAGATTCTAAAGGTATTTGGTTGTTTAATTATTTTATTATTTTTGAGTTTTTAGTCTTTTATTTATTGCCCCTTTCCTGAAAAATTTCTAGATCCGCCACTGGGTGTAGGTATATTGTCATATTGCCTATTGCATAGGTAAATATTTGTTTTTTCATATTTTAGACAATGAATAATTGTATTTTATGTACATTTTTTTTATAGGTAACATACAATTTTATTTGTCTATTTTTGTATCTAACTTATAGGTAGTTTTCTAATTTATGTTCCTAACTTATAGGTAGTATTCTAAACTTTGAGTCATGAACATAAATTAGAATGTACCTATAATATATGTTACCAAAC